CTTATTCTCTAATGATTAAACATTCTTTTTTATAAAGAAATATCTCAAAATTGTAACTGTGAAACTCTGAAATTTAATTATTATATTTATTTTATATTATTATCTAATTATATGTAAAAATTACACCGACTTACATATCATAAACCAAGGAAAATGTCAAATAATACAAATTCGTATCGTACAAAATCGAATAAAAGATATCACATTCACATTCATAAATTCCGTCAAACTCTTTGTTTTTAATTTTTAATTTAATATATTACAACATGTGGATTCGAAGTATTTTTTTAAAAAATATTGTCGCATCGTAAACATCACACAACCATGAAGCTCAGATTCTGAAATAACATATGTCATAATTAAAACAAATTGAGCAGTTTTGAGGGATAAACATGGGAAGACTTCCTTGGATCCAAAAAATAAATATGTGAATATTGTAGGGCGGTTCCATGCAATTCAAGAGAATGAAGGGGCACAAGCAAAATTTCATAAACACAAAGGACTTCAATTGGAATTTCTCAATTTGCACAGGGAAGGGCAAAATGGTAAATGAGAAAGGGTTATGAAATTCTTAATTCTATCGAAAATGTTGGATGATACTTACAGGAGGGAACAGCAACTGAAACATTCAAAACACGTGTGAACTGTTTCTCTTAAGTTGGATTTGTTGTCACTGAAAAAACTCACCTTCACTTGCTCAAACAAATGGCTTCATTGAAACTTCCAGAGGTTGTTCCTTCTCCTACCCAAGACAGTGAACGACTCAGAAACGCTTTCCAAGGTTTCTCTCTCTCTCTCAAAACAGGGACATATATTGAAAAACTGATTTTTTAAAATATTTTTTATGATTTAAGTTATTGCTGAATTTGGGCAGCAAGAATTCTGTTAAAAAAACACTGAAATTTTGTAGTTTTTCGTTTTTGGGGTAATGGGTTTTCCACAAACATTACTGTGTGAAATTGTATAAGGTTCTTTGGTTTTATCTTTCCAATGGAATGTAATGAGGTATTGTCAACGCTTATGCTTGTTTTTTAGTCCTTTTTTTTTCCTCTCGGTTTATGGTTATTTGTGTAGGAGTTATGTTTTTCGTATAAGATGGTTGGTGATAATGGTGAAACTTGATATAGGATTTGGGACTGAAGAGAAAGCGATAATATTGGTATTGGGACACAGGAATGCTCAACGAAGGAAGGAAATCAAAGAAACTTATCAACAGCTTTACAATGAGTCACTCATTGATCGTCTCCATTCTGAACTGTCTGGTGATTTTAGAGTATGTCATGGTTTCTGCACTTAATTGGGTTTCTGTTTTCTTTTGCTTTGAAGAAAGTAATTCTCTAACATTGTGTTCTGTTGGCATGTCGTAGAAACTAACCGAAACAATGTCATGCCACTTTTAGTGATTATGCTAATTTGGAATTGTAGTTTTTCTTTGGAACAAATTGGTCAATTATGCTTAGCCTGTAGGTTTCCAACCAGCATTGAACAATCATGTGCTCTTTTGCCTACTCTGGATTTCATTTTTATGTTAATTTAATTCATGGGTACTTCAAAATTCACCCAATAGCTATAGCTTGCTATTGGAATGAAAAAACCATGGGATCTAAGTACATTACGTGGGTAGATTCCAACCAGATTTGATCAAACTTGTTCTTCATGATTAGTTGGCTATTCTAAATGAAGGGAAGTAAACAAAAACATTATGTGGGTATCTCATAAAAAATGGCTTTTTGGTTGGAAACGTTTTCTTTTTTAAATGCTCATGCAGAATTGGATTGCATTTTTTACTTTGTAGATTTCTCGCTTACCTGAATGTTTTTTCATTGTTTCAGTTTTTCCTCTTGTAGGGTAGCTTAAGATAAGGTCACATAAGATACTTCATTTTTCAAAAAGAGAGGCTGTGAAGAAGAGAGAAAATGATCGATAAATGGGTTATATATTTCAAGTTCATCTATCAAATATTTTATATTTACTTCTTCGTTCTTCTGCCTATCAAGGCTTTGGTTAATTGTCATTGTAGATGTCCTAATTTATCAGAAGTGATACATTCTTGTATGTCAGTGCAGATTAATTTGATGAAAGTGTGATTTGGATGCTTCTTTGTCTGTCATTTAGAAGGAAATTACATAGCTCAAGAAAATATATCGATCAATCTTACATCTATTTAGACAAGATATTGATGTTTGTACTGACAATTGTATAGGTTTTGGCACATCATTTCATTTCATGGATAAAGTTTATTGGATTGTTGACTTCAATCTGATTTCCAAAACATGCCATTTTTTCGAAGTAATCATGTGATCTACTATGAAAACGTGACTCGAACTTGTGATGCATGACAGAATGCTGTGATTCTCTGGACTTATGATCCTGCAGAAAGGCATGCAAGACTAGCAAAGGATGCATTGAAGACTAAGAGGAAGGGGATTAAACACCTTCAGGTTTTGGTTGAAATAGCATGTGCATCAACTCCTAACCATTTGGTGGCTGTGAGGCAGGCTTACTGCTCTCTCTTTGATTGCTCACTTGAGGAGGACATCATAGCCTCTGTTGCTCCACCCCTTAGAAAGGTAAGAACATTTCAAAACATTTAGGGTCTGTTTGGATAAATTTCTCTATAAGCACTTTTAAGAGAAAAATATAGGGAGGAAAAATGAAACAAGTTTCTCCATAAGTTAAAATTACTTTATACATATCTAATTTGTAGAAGCTCCCTCGTATAACTTCTCAAAAAACTTATTTCTAACTTATATATAAGTTAGTTTTAACTTATGAAGAAACTTATTTCATTTTTCATTCCTATTTTTGTTTCCTTGAAGGACTTATAGAGAAGTTTATCCAAACAGGCTTATACTTGGATTTGTCTAGTCAATCAAGTGTCTTTCAAGCAAGAAGTAGCTATTTCTTAGTTAAATGTGAATTAAATGTTCCAAAATTCTTAGCACTTTGATTTAAAGGCTCAACGCCTCTTGTTTAACCTCATTTAAGTAAATGAGTGTAAAAATGGGCAATGTTCTGTTGTAATATGAAGTAAAGCAAGAGAGTGAAAAAGATATTACAGAAGAACTTGGTCAAGTTATTATCAGGATGTTTCTTAAATCATGCATTTTTCTTCACCAATCTAATGTTCTTCTTGAATAACTAAGTTATGATGTGAGGATACGCAGAAATACTAAAATTGGTGATGGAGATGAGGAAGAAGAAAGAATACAAATTAAGTTTCAAACTGTAATTTCTATAATCTTGGTTCAAACATGAAAATTATGACTTGAATCGTGGATTACAGTTACTTAAGATTCATGGAATCTTTGAAAAAGCTATTAAAGTCAGAATTTATTATTGCATTCATGATTCACACTAACATTAATTAGTTTCCAATTTGTTCTATGATTTCCTCTCGAAATGTGATATTCATATTGTTGTGCAGCTTTTAGTGAGCCTAGTAAGCTCATACAGGTATGATAAAGTAGCTGTAAATTTGGAGGTTGCCAAGTCAGAGGCATCAAAACTACATGAAGCTATCAACAGCAAGCAATTGGATGATGATCATATTGTTTGGATACTTAGCACCAGGAATCTTTTCCAGCTCCGGGAAACTTTTGCATGCTACAAGAACCTCTACAAGAATACATTGGAACAGGTTTTGCTTTAAGTTTTTGGGTTCTTAAATGATTTTAATTTTGATTCGCTAACATTGCTACTGATATATATCTTGTCACTTGATTAAAAGCAACTAAATTATTTCACTTAAAGTGAAAAGCTTCAGTTACTACAATGATTGATAATATTTTGTTCATTACTAATTTAAGTATCTACATTGATATAATCGATCAGATTTACACACAAATATGTGTATTTTTATCTATTTGGAATTTGGATGATTTTCTTGACAGGGCATAAAAAATTGTGGTAATGGTGATTTGGAATCTCTCTTACATGTGGTAATATGGTGTATAGACAGCCCCGAGAAACATTTTTCAAAGGTAATTACAAAGTTTCTCCTATTATTATGTAGCATTATTATGTAGAAAACTTAAATGCTAATGCCTTATCATGCTAAGGTGTCAACTCATGAGAATCTACTGATCAAGTACATTCTCGAGATTTATTTAAAATCTGCTTTTCCCCGAACTATACTCCTGCATAGACAATTAGTGACTCCTAAATTTCTAGACATTTTATACAATAAATAGTGCTGGAAAAATGGAATGATATCAGTTTGAATTTCTTTTTTTGTGCATTGTATGTCGTTGTGTAGGCTTTTGTGTACCAAGAGTTTACACGCGCCTCTACATTGATATGATATTATTCACTTTAGACTTAAATCTTCGTAAATTTGTTTTTGATCATCACCCAAAAGGTCTCATACCATGCTTGTCTAAGTCAATCACCTAGTCGAATCGACTTTGATATCACCTGTTAGGCACTGGGAAGTTCACACATAGATGTCTCTATATTGGTATGGTGTTGTACACTTTAGACTTAAACTTCATGGATTTTTAATCATCATCCAAAAGGCCTCATATAACACTCATCTAAGTCGATTACCTAGTTGAACCGTCAACTTTGATATCATTTATTAGGCATTCGGAGTTCACACACGTCGCTCCAACTTTTATATCATCCATAAGGCACCGTTGGAGACTTTGTAGGTGCTTATAAATCCATGTTTCTCCTCTTGTTCTAACATTTTAGAATTTTATTTGTTTTTCAACAATCCTCCTCTCAAACAAAAAATCATGGTTTAACCTCCCTTCCTTGTACTTCAACTCCATTGAGTTCTTCGGCATGTACAATTCATTAGTTCTTGATTTAAAAGCGCATGGTGACTTGAGCTTATTTCGTAGAATTTTCGCATTTGTCTCATTAGCAATAAAATTTTAAACGTTATCATCCACAAATTACGTGATAAAGCCACACACCTATTAGTGTTCCAAGTCCCATTCTTCATCAGACTTGGAATGCGGCTTATTAGCAACAAAGATAGGAAGATGCAAAGTTTAGACAAATAACAAGTCTTTCATCTTGCCCTTTCACAAGTGATAATTTGTTTCATTCAAAAAAGTCATCTTTGTGTGTGCTTTCATCATTCAAGCAAGCCAAGCAATCCCTTAACCAAAGAGCTCTTATGCCACTCAAATAGGGGAAAAACTCAACACAATAACAACTCCTCAAAGAAAGAGCAATAATCATCGAAAATAGAATCTCCCAACTTGTAAGAATTAGTGAGAAGTACTGATAAGATATAGCAACAAGAGATAACTCAAATGCACAGAAGACATATTTCTTTAATGCAAGGGTAAAATCCACGGGTTATCCAGATCAAATAAATAGTACAAAAGAGTCTTTAACAAGTGCACAAACAATGCATACACCTAGCCAAACAAATTAAGCACCAATGCTTACCAATGAGAAACAAGAAAATGAAAACTCCAAAAATAGAGTTGTTGATACGAACAACTTTTCCCTGGGTCTAGACATCTATTCGATGGTCAAACTGTTGAATATGAAGAAACACATAATGAACTTGTTCAAAATATCCAATAGTGAATGAATCTCTTTCTATTTGAAAAACATTGCCTAGTGAAAATGCAAAAATGCACAATAGTTTTCTCTCTTCTCTTATCCTCTATTTATTTGCCGTTGTTCTCTACAAGGATTTAGCCTAAAATTGGTCTTGTTTCGAGATAGACCAAATCTCCTACTACCGAGGCTAAATTTCTAAGGTAATAATTTTCAGAATTTTCCGTTCAAGTAGTATGAATAAATACAATAGATTCCTAATATTGAAGGGTTGTGTGACAATTGGCAACATCTCCTAGGAATTCTAGAATTTTCTGGCTTTCTAGGAATTGAAATAACAATAAGAAAAGAAACAGTAATTCAATTTGGGCATACGAGCTAGATTCTAATATTTGAAGTCCTTAACTCACCGGATAAGATTCTTTAGAAATACTTCTATGAGAGAAAAATAAGTTGAAAAATTGAAATAAATTTTTTCATAAAATAAAACTAACTTATGTATGAGTTGAAAATAAGATTTTAAAGAGACTAATAAAAGAGTTTCTACAAATTAACTTAGGCATAAGCTAATTTCAGCTTATGAAGAAACTTATTTCATTTTTCTCTCTTATTTTACTCTTTTAAAAGTGCTTTTGAGGAAGTCTATCAAAACACGCCCTAAGGCTTCATGCACAGTCCTGCTTGTGGATGTTTTTGGCTATGAGCTAGGGGGTCTCTCAATAATGAGTCTTGTCTCAATCCTAATTTGATTCTTCTCCACTTAAAGTATGATTGTCTAAATTTTCTCAACCTTCTAGAAAGAGTTCTTTTTCTTAAGGAAAATGTTCAACTAAGATTTTGGTTTTCGCCGTAACATGATTGTATTTGTATAATATCTCAATTTTTTTTTCGCTTTTTGTGATAATAATTCCTTATCCATAAGTAAACATCTTTTTTATTCCTTTAGATATATACAATTCATTGTTTTTGTCCTTCGAAATAGTTTTCCAATTCTGAATTTTGACATCAATTTGTTGTTTTGGAGGACCAATTCTATGCAAACACTTAATCTTGGGAGAATCAAATTAGTTACTCTAATTTCTTTCAAGTTGCATTAAGACTATATACTATAATCATGACTTCATAGGATCGAGCCCTGATCCTTAGTTAAAGAACATAAGTGTCTAACTACTTGGACTAACAACTTTTGATTGTAAGATTCATTATGAAAATCCTCAACTGCAACAATTGATTATGTTGTCATTTTTCTTGGCTTTTATGCACCTTAAAAGGTTGTAAGAGATTCTATTCTTGGGTTTGGAACCGATGAAGATTCACTCAACAGAGCAATTATAACTCGAGCTGAAATCGACCTGTTGAAAGTGAGATTCGAATATAGCAACATGTACAAGTCGAGTCTTGATGATGATGTTGTTGGGGACACCTCAGGGGACTACAGAGATTTTTTGATGACTTTGTTAGGGAAAGGTCCCAATGAAGAGTGACACATTATAACCAACTAGCACCTCTCATGGTGTTCTGGGATTGCTTGTAATCTGAATTTGATGGTCTAGACTTTGTAACATATATGTTGCTCCTTTTTATTTCACAAGAACCAGAATTCAAGATTGAAATCAAAACCATTTGTTTGTTATTCTGCATTGACTTTGTGTAAATTAATTGTACCTTGGTGTCTTCTCCAAAATAAACCGAATGAACTTGGTGTATAGTAATTAAATAACAAGATATTTATGATGTGAAACATAGCAGTTGTTGTGTTGCTTATTTCTGTAGTTCCTAGTTTTTTCTCCCTAAACAAATTATATGCTTCATTTACTTATTATTATAATGAAACACTAGTCAATGACTTACTATTAAAAGTTATGTAGTTTCTACAGTGTTTTTTGGCACTCCTAAAGACTATTAGAATTTCTAGCATCCAGAAAATGCTTTCTTTCTTTTATTCAAACTAGTAGTACATATACTCGTAAGATGTACAGAATAAATGGTGTAAAAAAACTAATATTTTTATTATTTTAAAAATTAAAATTAAAAGTTATAACTAAAAATAAGAGTTATATATTAAATAATATTAATAATACTCTTAAACTTGTTGCTACAATTTTATAAACAAAACTTTTTTAAAATTGTGTAAGAAAAAATGATTATATATCTAATTTTATTTATCAAACAAGACAGTGCTAGTTGAGATTATTAAAACTTCATAACCTGGTGTAATAACCTAATCAATAAAAGTTCATTTAAAATTAAATAAATATAACCAAATTTATAAATTATGCTTACCTATAAATTTATTTCATAATGTATTGCAATTAATTTATAAATAAAATTTTATTATTAATGTTGTTCCTGTCGTAAGTCCGCTGTCATCATTAGGGTCACCGCATCCGAGGTATTGTACGCTTTGGCTCGTTGGGCCGTCACAATTTTGTCCTTTAAAAGGCGCATCGATGGGTTAAGGAGGAAAGGTGTTTATAAACTACCCTTAACCTCGACTACTAAGCATACCTCGAATACGGTAATCCTAACGATGACAGGGACTTACGGTAAGAACATTGGCACTAGAAGGAGGGCCCAGGCCACTCTTGCCCCTTAGCATCGATTGGGAGGCTTGTTCCGGTGCCTAAAAGTCCCACATTGCTTAGGAGTCGAGGCTAAGAGTAGTTTATAAACACCTTTCCTTCTTTACCCACCGAGGCACCTTTTAAAGGACAAAACTGTGACGGCCCAACGAGGCAAAGTGGACAATATCTCGGATATAGTGACCCTAACGATGACAGCGGACTTACGGTAGGAACAAATGTATTTACAAACAGAATAAAAAAAAGTATACTAAATTATCTCCTAATTTGGATTGACTTTTTTGAGGAGAAAATTGTTCTAATATTAACTTTATATAATAAAATTTCATAATTATTTTTAATTAATTTATAAATAAGATCTTATTATTAATATATTTATGATCCTTTTATTAGTAAAAAATAGTTTATTGAATTATCTTCCAATTTAGCTTGACTTTTTTGAGAGGAAAAGTTGATTCAAAGTTAACAATTTTATATAATAAGATTTAGACCGACTTTTTTTTTTTTTGGGTTGTTATAAAGTTAATAACTTTATATAATAAGATTTTATAATTAATTTATAAATAAAATCTTATTATTAATATATTTATGATCTCTTTATTGAGTAAAAAATTGTTGATTGAATTATGTATCAATTTGGACTTACTTGTTTTTGGGAGAAAAGTTGTTCCACCATTAACAACTTTAAAAGATAAGATGTTCGAGATAAATAGTGTAAAAGAGTAATTTTTTATTATTTTAAAAATTAAGTTAAAAGTTAAAAGTAATAATTAAGAGTTATATATATATATATATATATATATATATATATATATA